GGGAGGGGCTGCGGGAGGAGCACTTAATGAAAGGAATAGTATTTCTGGCTAACAATGAGGGGTTTGTTTCCCTCTTCGGGAATTTCCTCATATTTAATCTCTGGGGTGGAAGAGAACATTTAAATTATACACTGTATCCACACAAGCCAAGGGAGCAAGGTCCTGCTGTAACTCCGTGGGCCCATTGCTCTGGGAGGGGAGCGCAGCACCCACGGCCTCCTTGAGTCAGCAGTTCTCAGCCTTGGCCACATGGTACAACCACCTGGCAAGCTTTCAACACTTATTGAATAGGTTTGTGGTGGAACCCCGGCGTCTGTGTTTTTTAACCCTCCCTAAGTTATATTGATGTGCAGTCAGGATTGTCGCACCGCCAGGCTGTGTGAAAAAATCAGACACTGCGCATGCCCAAGTAGGGCTTACGGCCTGGGGTCACCAACTTGGTTAGCACATAAGTAATTAATTGTAACTGTGATAGTGCTGCTGCACACACTTAAATTTCTGGAGGGCCAAAGAAGTCTCATTGATGCAATAACCTAAAAGCTGACTTGACATTAATGAGGGCGCTAGGAGAAGAGGGACGAGCATGTGCAAAGGCTCTGGGGTAGGAAAGAGCTTAGTGTGTGGGAAGACCTGAAAGAGCAGCTGGTTGGAGCTGTGAGCGAGGGGATAAGAGGCCGGAGGAGGCTGCAGAGTGGATGGTGGCCTGCCGTCCATTGTCGGCCCACGATGAGTCCATCTGATATGCTCTCAGTGTGTGAGCTGCTCTGATACTGATGGGAATGGCCCAGCTCCTGTGTTCTGGAACAGCCAGCTGCAAAAAGGCCTGATTGAGTGTTCTGCCTCTGCCTCATAATGGTCTGGGCAGGAACCCCCTCCTCCAGCACATGAAAATTATTCTTTACCCAGCCTCCATGGGGTGGGAATGGGGCAGAAAAAGAAGGGGAGTTTTCCTCACATATAAAAAGCTTTCGGGCCCCTTGGCTGTTGGTGGGTGTGTCTCACTTGAAAATTAGGCCTTTTTCCAGGTCACCGTCGTCTCTACATAGGAGAACTCATTGGGCAGAATGGTTGGCCCCCAGGTGACTGGAGTCTCAGTGCAGCGATTCCTGCCCCACTGTTTCTCGGTGTTCTTCGATGAAATCTACAGATTTCACTCCTCTTTCCCCTCCTTTTTCCTGCTTTTAAACATCTGTGCCAACTTCTAATGTTCTGTGGGTGGCATGGGGAATTCTTCACACTTCATTTGGTCCTGCTTCCCATTTCAGAAGCTCCACAGTTTACGTCCTGTGTCCCCTCCCTCCCCTGGCTAACCCCGTCCCTTGGCCCGGTGACCTGTGAGCTGTTCCTTTCATTAAAACTGCCCTGTGGCTGAGGAGAACCCTTCCTTTTTGGTTTGGGCCTTTCGATAAACATTTAACATGTTCCTTTCTGTATATTAATCTTTTACCTCCCCGAGACTCTTAAATCTTCATTTCCCTTTAAACACTTAACAACGGTGTGGTGTGTAAGACAGCACTGGTCACCGCAAGTGTGCAGAAGGGAAACTGAGGCCCAGACAGCAGTGTGGGGCAGTGGGAAGACTTGCCTTCTGGATTCCTCCGGGGAGGTTGAACCTGGGGATGATGAAGTGTGACTTAGTGAGGAACAGCCCTTATGCAGAGCTGGGGACCCTTGAGGGCACACACCAAGAAATGGTGAGTCTTCAGGCCCCCTGGTCAGTGATGGCTGGCTCCTTCTTCTTTGCAAAGCTGCCCTGCAGCCCCCATGCTGGGTGGGAAATCATTTCATGGATTCCCTTTGATACTCAAGTCAAGGGAGGGGCATGGCTGTCCCCACCCACTGGTGCTAGGTGATAGTAATGCGGCCATTTGTCCAAAAACTGTTGGGAGCCGGGCAGTGTGCTCAGTGTGGGACCTAAGTGCTTGCTGAGGTCCCTGGGGCCACCACAGGGAAAACACTGCTAACCCCGTTTTATGGAAAAATGGCCAATGAGGGGAGGAGCCAGATTTGAACCCAGGTCTGCTTGGCCCCAAAGCTCATGCTCTGTGCATTAAATTGCATGACCTTCTGTCAGTAACAGCCATCGTGAGGCTGCTTGGGCAATAACTTTAATAATAGAACGCTCGCCCACATCCCAAACCCACACTCACTGTCAGCCTACGTCAGCATTGACCAGCCAGTTTTTACCTCTGGCCAAATTGGATTTAGCTAAGTTACGCTGTTGAAGAGAACACCGGTGAGTCCCAGAACTTGTTATAAAGTGGCTGCCTCGTGCGAGCCAGGATGAGGGAGAATTGAGCTGATATGCGTCTTGTTTTCCTGGTACCGTCTTAGGCACTTTTTGAAAAACCTGCGCTTCTTTAAGGCTCGCCCTGAATACAACTGATGGAAACGTGGTATAAGCTCAAGAGCCTACCTGATCCTATTAGAGCCTCCTTTCATAGCTAGAACGGACCATGCTTCTCACCTCAGGGCCTTTGCACAGGCTGTTCATTGTGCCGGCAACACCTTCTCTATCTTTTCCCTGCTGCCCTCCCTATTTTGTTTCACTCATTTATTTATGGGGCTCCGATTAGAAACTGATTCCTTAGGAAAGACCACTGACCTTTTCCGTGCTACATCTGTCATACGCTATTACAGCAGCAGTCTTACTTCCTTAGAGCATACCACTATTATAGTTATAGTTCTTTTTAAACTGTTAATGTTGGTTTCCCCCATTGGACTATAAGCTCCATGAAGGCAGGAGCTACATTGTTGTATGCCTAGCACCTGGTATATACACTCGGTCAACATGGGATGGACGAGTGGTTGGTTGGATAGGTAGAGTGAGCTAGTCACCTTCCGTCCTTTCCCTTAGCTCCAGCCAAGAGACTCTTCTTAGCAGGGGTGGGGAATTGTAATTACCTGTTTATATGACTCTCTTGGGCCTCTGAGAAGAACCCATCTTGAGACCCCTAAGGTCTGGCCCAGCACCTGACATACAGTAGATGGCCAATAAAAGGTGGCCAGTGGTTGTCTAAGCTTAATGCTTGCCCTTGAGACCAGTTCCAAGGGCTCATGCTGCTGTGGGGAACCTTGGAGAGTTAATTTCCCACGTTGAGAGTAAGGGCAGAGCATCTACTCATGGAAGCTTAGGGCACTGCATTCCTGCTTCCCACCCCATGCCATGGTCTGCTCTTCAGGTTGCCAGTTACTATATTGACTTATTTGTACATAAATAGTTATTTCTATAACCTTCTCTCCGCCAACATTCAGAGATAATGATATACAATCTTTGCAACATCACAGACATGGCTTCAAAAGCATTCTGTTGCTATAGAAATGTTTATGATGTGCTTATCACTAGAATTTTACGAGCAACAAACTCCCAAATTGCAGATGATTTAGCATTTGAAGCCAGGAGTGAGAGCGTGTGTGTATTTGCATTTAAAAAAAGGCTTTGAAAAGAGTTTTCCTTCTGCAGAGTTATCTTCTTGTAAAGTTTAAAATAAGAACTACTTAAAAGCTGAGAGTTTAGAGGAATGAGCACTTTCTCTTAAACATTTAAATGGGTGAGAATGACTTGTAATTTCTCCCTCAAGTATTAAGGCAATCAGCACTCAAAGGCTTTTTTTGGAGCTGGCTGTCACAGACAAAGGATTTCTCAATTTTTTTAAAAATACAATTTTTATAGCATTAAATGGGAGGAATGAACACCAGCAGCTCTCTTGACATTTTGGAAATGATTTATTTTCAGGGCTGGGCTTGTCACAGTTAGGATGGGAAGTCCAGGATGGAGCAGGACAGGGCTCCAGGCACAGCTCCAACCAGGTTCCGAGACCCTCCTGCTCTTGTCACCTGAACCCACTGCCTCTGTCTTTCACCCCAAAGGCACACTTTCCCAAAGTCCCTGCTGTGGCTCTCCCTCCTGGACAGAGACTCGCTGAACTCTCTGATTGGTAGTCCAGAGAGTAAGTTGTTATTTTTATTCCCAGTCACCCTCTCTGAACCAAGAGGTCAGCCGCACACCTTAGGAAAGTTGTGTTCTATGAACGTTTACTATCGTGATGCTGCTCGGCTGTGGTTCGTGGGATGGCGCTGGACTGCAGACTTCACTCGTCCACGGTACAAGCACAGAAATTGAGAGTACGCACTTTGAAACTTTCATACTGATGTGACAGTCATTAGCTGAATCGAACAATTAAAAAGTAGGCTTGTGCCCTGGCCAGTGTGGCTCAGTTGGTTGAGCGTTGTCCCCTGCACTGAGAGGTCACCTGTTTGATTCCTGGTCAGGGAACATGCCCGGGTTGCAGGCTTGATCCGCTGTAGAGTGTGTGCAGGAGGCAACCGATCAATGTTTCTTTCTCTTATTGATTTTCTCTCTCTCTCCCCCTCTTCCTTCTTCTCTCTCTAAAATCAATAAAAAAGCATTTTTAACAAACAAAAATAGGCTTGTACTTTGTATGAATTTATTTTCTTTTCTTTTTCTAATGGTTCATTTTCATTATATTTTATAAAAGTATTCATTCGTGATGGATTGGAAATTAAAGACAACTGGTCCTTCATCACAAATACAGTAGTTCGAGAAGCCCGGTGCTGTCCCACTTGTGTGCTGTCTCTGCTCCCCCCCCGTGGGGCAGGGAGGCTGTTGGATGAATTGGGGGGAATCGCAGAGCTGACCACATTATATTGCAATGAAGCCCCTCTCTCTCTCACTAGACTGGTTCTTGAGAGTAGGGACGGCGTCTGGTTCATCTTCGAAGGCTCATTCCTGAGAGCCCTGCCTGGCACATGGGAGGGCGTGGGAAACGCTGTCCGGCGTAAGCCCGTCTGCTCCCCGTGACCTGAGAGCGGCGAGGCGGCCTCGGGAACTCCTAGGGCTTCTGGATAGTGTCCTTCGCAGGCCGGCGATGGAAAGCTAGGAGCAGAGGATGAAGAAGTGACCTTGCCTTCTCTTTNTGGCGATGGAAAGCTAAGAGCAGAGGATGAAGAAGTGACCTTGCCTTCTCTTTTTCCCACAGAACCAGGTCTCCGTTTCCCACCTGGCCAGCAGCATGAGAGCAGCATGACCGGCCGGCCGCAGGAGAAGCCCCCAGAGCCAGGCCCCCAACTCAACCATCTGCTGCGGAGGTCAAGGTGAGCTTGCTTCCCTTCTCCTGGGAGGTTTCGGAATGTTTATTTTAACTGATTCTATGTGCTTTTGGAATCCCTCACCGTGTGCTGGGGAAATGGAGTTCCCTGGGACATGGGTAGACTTAGAAAGTGGGTGTCAGGCTAATGGGGCAGAAGGCGCTCGTTTTGGTTTATGGGGAGGCCGATGGTGGAGCAGGCAGGGCCCTGAATTGAGTTTCCAGGACTGAAGCGCTCAACACTCCTCCCGAACCGTGGTCTTGGGCAGGTGTTTTAGGGACTGTGACCCATGGAATTTGGGGGAAGGAATCTCTGGAATAGGCTGGCACTGGGAAAACGGTCAGTCTGTGCTTCCTAGAACATTCTGGACAGAAATTCCTGTCCCACGTAGGGTTGTAAGGGGCCTTAGAGGATCAGCCAGGCCAATTCCCAGCCACTGTTGAACAGTGAATTGTCAGAAAACTCTTTCTAATATTGAGACAGTTTGTTTGCTTTTTTTTTTTCCTCTTCAAATTTTAAGCTACTTTCTCTCTCTAATTCTTCCTTCCCTGCTCTGCCAGTGGGGCCACAAAGACTGGCTTTCAGAGACTCTTCCCCACGACTCTCTCTTCGGGTTTGAAGATGGCTGTCAGGCTCTGCTTCCTTTTTTTGTATAAATTCTCCCTAGAGACTGGCACCACTCACCTTGTCCTCTTGGTCCCCTCCATGTGGGAAAGGACCTCATTCCCTGTGGTTGCTCACTTAAGCTGGGCTATTCTTGACAGAGAAGCCTTCACTCACTGTTCATGGGACAGCTGGTCCTCAAATAACATCATTCTGGTCAACGCCAATTCAATATAACCTTGATGAGATGCTGAAGCATCTTAACTCCTGTTTATACCGATTAGCCTATGGTCAAATCGGTTTCATTTTATGACATTTCTCTTAAAATCTCAGAACCTGTCCATGACGTTAAGTGAGGACTTACTGTATATATTAAGAGCCTCCTTTGTGACTGTCACTGTGCTAGACTTTAGATACATTAGTGAACAAGAAATACAAAATCTCTCTTTTTTTCTTTATTGATTTCAGGGAGAGGAAGGGAGAGGGAGAGAGAGAGAGAAACATCAATGATGGGAGAGTCATTGATTGGCTGCCTCCTGCACGCCCCTTACTGGGGATCGAGCCCACAGCCTGGACGTGTACCCTGACTGGGAATCAAACCTTGATCTCCTGGATCATAGGTTGATGCTCAACCCATGAGCCATGCTGGCCAGGCAATTATCTGTCTTTTTTAAGACAAAATGGGTTTGGGTCCTTAGAGAGAGTTTAAAATAAGCATTAAACCACTTCTGTGTGTTCCTTTTTTATATTTTATCTTTTTCCAGTTTTTTTCTTAAATGTTCCATGAGTGAAAAGAGTGTGTATTCTCTAATTATTGAATATATTTTTCTGTATATGAACATCAAAATAAGTTAGTTCAATTTATTGTTCAACATCTACAATGTGTTCTTTTCTGTTTTTGTCTGATTAATCTATCCGTTATTAAGAGAAATGTGTTAAAAATCTCCCACTGGATTTGTCAGTTTCTCCTCACAGTGCTGAAAATTTTGCTTTACGTATTTTAAGGCAGTGCTATTTGGTGCACAAATGTCTACACTAGGTGTATCTTATTGATGAATTGGGATTCATTTCTACCATCTTTATATACTTTCCATTTTCTCTGCTTTTTTTTGGCTGAGGTGTTTTCACCTCTTATTCTATATTTTTTTCCAGAATCAGGCATTCATTTATTTTTCACTTTAAAAAAAGCAAAACAACAAACACAGGCATTCATCTATCTGGACATCATACTTAAATGTGTTTTGCATTTTCCAAAGTAAAAGTGAAATTTTTTTTTAGAGAGTCTTTTTTTAAAATTTTTTATATTGACATTATTGCAGATGTCCCCCTTTCCCCCACCTTTGCCCACCTTCACCCACCCGCACCTCCATCTTCCTATTTGGAAGTTATATGATCTGTATCTACCTTTCAGTGGTTACCCAGCTATTTCAACAGGCATACTTAACAAATTCTGAAATTAACTAGTGTCTTTGCCTTCCTCCCAAACTATACAAGTTTAATTCTGCCTCTCCCAATTTTGTCAAGTTATTATCCTGTGTTTTCATTCTGTCCTCCTTTTCCCTACAAGTTAGATGTCATTGTTTTGTACAGCATTTGTATAGATTTACCCATATACTTGTCAGTATCTTTTCTCACCATTCTTTCATGAATCTGAGATTATGTTCCTTCCTCCTAATATAAATCCTTTAGCATTATCCATTAGGGCAGGGGTGGGAACCTTTTTTCTGCCAAGGACCATTTGGATATTTATAACATCATTCTCGGGCCATAGAAAATTATCAACTTAAAAATTAACTATGAAAAAAGCTCCTTAAATTTATTGAATTTCAAGTTCCACCTACATTTGCCTTGGCAGGGCCAGACCAAATGATTTGGCCTGTGGGCCAGACGTTTCCCACCCCTGCTTTAGTGAAAGGCTACTGGTAGTAAAGTCCCAAGTTTTTTCTCTTTTGGTTTGTTTTTGTTTGTTTGTTTTTGTTTTTGTTGGCTTGAAAATATCTTATTTTGCTCTCAGTTTTGAAAGGTAACTTTAGTGGACATATTCTCTTAGGTCATGGAAGCCATCAATCCACCGCCTCTTGGCTCTGAATGTTGCTGTTGAAAAATTGGCTGTCAGTCTTATTGCTATTCCTTTATAACTGACCTGGCATTTCCCTCTGGTTATGTTAAAGAGATTGTTGTTTTCTTTGGTGTTCTGCAGCTACACCATGGTGTCATGTAAGTAGGTATAAATTTCTCTGTCTTTATTCTGCTTGGGGTTCGTCGGGATTCCTAGAGCTGAAGATGGGTGTCTTTCAACAATTCTGGTAAAATTCTCACCCTTTATTTCTGTGACTATCACCTCTTTCCCCTTCTTTCTAATATCTCCTTCTGGAACTCCAGTTAGACTTATGGTAGACCTTCTCATTCTAGTCTCTGTACCGCGTAACCTCTATTTTATATTTTTAATCACTGTCTCTCTGTGAGCTCTGAATAATTCCTTCAAATGTGTCTTCCATTTAACTAATTTATTCAGTGTCTCAAATGCTATCTAATCCATCCATTGAATTTTTTTCCTTTCGGTTTCTTTATTTGTCGTTTGCAGAAGTTCTAGTCCATTATTTTTCACATCTACTTGGTGATTTTCTGGTCTCTTATTTCTTGTTCATTTTGCACATTTCTTTTTCTGTTTCTTTAATATATTGAGTAAGCTGTTTGAAAATTGTAGGATTCCTTGTCTGGTAATTCCAGAATCTGAAGTCTTTACAGGCCTGATTGTGCTGTCTGTTGTTTCTACTGCCTTGATGTCTTCTTTTGTCTATGTGAGCTGCTCATTTTCTTAGAAACTTTATCTTTGAGAATTATTTGAGGTACAGGTTGACATTGACTTTTCCAGAGAGGATTTGCATTAACTTCTGCTAGTTGTCTGGGGGCACCACCAACCAAAAATCACTTTAATTTTCTACCTGAGGCTTTTCTGGCCACAAAAGTAGCCTGAATTCAGACCGCAAACCTGTGTAAAGTCCATCTTTTGGTTATGAATTTTCAGGACAGATTTCTCCCCATTCTTCCAGCCCAAAGCCAGGTTTCCTTGCAGTGCCCTCTGTGTTGTGCTTTGTTTCTCATTCAGAAAGTGGAGCCTTTTGGAGTCCCAGCTTTATGGAGGCACTAGGCTTTTTCTCCTGTTTCCTGAAGCCTGCACAGCTCCCATGGGAAACAGAATATCTAAGGTTCAGCAGGAACCATCAGGGCAAAAGCCAACTTTGCTGTGAGATGACCTCCCAAGGTTCCTGCTTTTGGTTTGTTTATGGTCTTTGAAGAATCCTTCCATTTGTACCAGCTCAGCAATGTGTGTACAACTTTTAAATTTTAAATTTTACCCAGCATGCTAATTGCTTCGATTGCGAAGGTCAAGCAGAGTATCTGGCCAAAAAGTGCATCATCTTTTTTCTCCAGCATGGCCCTATGGGGCAGGAATGACTAGCCCTTGTTCACAGAAGAGTGAACCAAGGCTCAGCGAGGACCTGTAACTGGCTAGCAGTTGACAAACGGGAAGGGGTGTGTCCCTTTCCTTACCTTTCCTTTCCCCAAAATAACTGTTGACCACTTTTTTGGGGATTAGCTTTATGCTCACAAAGGATATGCGTTCCTACCAGCTTTAAATAGTTGGACAGCTTTGTAAAATTTGTTTATGAATCTATTGTTTATCTTCCTTGAGAGGGGAAATGGCTTCTGCATATTTTGTGGCTTGCTTCTCTAGCAGTCACCAGCACTTTCCTGCTTCGTTCCCGCTCTGCCCGGCCTCCTGGACCACAGCCGGAGCCCTGTGCACCTCCTCCAGACCCCAGCTTCTTCTTGTCCCATGCTACACTCTCCTTCTTCTTACCTGTGTCCCCGGCCCTTCCTGCTATTGGTTTTCCATCTCATGGTGGTGTGTATGCCTTTGTCCCGACGGGAGGCCTCAGAGACCCGTGATGAGACTTCGGGGCTCCGGGGGCAGGGAGAAAGAGCTGAGTTTGACCCCAGCTCTGCCACTCACTAGTTCAGTCCCTGAGCTTCAGCTTCTCCATCTGTAACGTGGGGACAGGGAGTAAATGAGATGATGTAACATGAGCTCGGAGCACGCAAGGCGCCCGGTCATAGCGGTTACTGCTCCCGTCACTGCGAATAGACCCCCTCAGGCCGGGCTCTTGCTCAGAGACGCTTTCCCGCTGACATAGCTGGTTAATGAAATGTGATGAAAATGGAGCCAAGTCTAGGGTCAGTGTGGGATTCCCAGCTTCCCTGTTCTGTCCTTCAAATTGGGGTGTTTTTAAAAATAATATGAGGGAGCCCTGGCCAATGTGTCTCAGTGGTTAGAGTGTTGGCCTGGACACCAAAGGGTTGTAGGTTCAGTTCCCAGTCAAGGGCACGTACCTGGGGTG